GACTTAAAGTTTAGCTGAGAACCTACGGTCAGGACAGTCATTAATCCATCTCAGAGTGGCGGCCCATCGAACTCCTCCAGCGAAATGCGTGATGGAGCTATAGATAGAGCAGTTGCAGAGACAAAGCAGATGAGAACAGATCTGATTAGGCAGCTGTCTCCGCACACTCCACAGGGATTAGGCACAACAGCTCCTTGTTAGACCTCCCTACTTTGTTCCATACAGCAAATTTACTGTTAGTGAATAAAGGGAAAAATCAAAGGGTGCAAATTGCAATTCCATTCGCTATTTAACGCTCTTGCATGGTCACACAACTGGACTCACATAATAATATGCAGCAAATGTGCCACTGGTTCTGGAAAAATAACATCAGATCCATCATGCATTATTCCTCCTTTAATATCAGAACTTAGGAAGCAGAACAAACGTATTTATGAGTCATGGTGTGGTACAGAACGTTCAAAATGTTTCACTCTGTAGTGTCTTTGTTTTTGTGTTTAAAGCGCAATTTGCATTTTTATATAAGAAATGCCCTGGAAACTGTCCTGAGCACAAAACTCTGCAAATACACAAAAATGTGCTTCTTGTCGCATTTCCTCTCTCTCTCTCTCTCTCTGTCTCTCTCTCTCTCTCTCTCTCTCTCTCTCTCTCTCTCTCTCTCTCTCTCTCTCTCTCTCTCTCTCTCGCTCCATAGCTATGTTTTTGTAAATTTGTATTTCAGACCTTCTAGAGAGCTGTGGTGGCAGATGCCATGTTCTACCAGGAAGTTCAGTCACCCTTTTCTAATCAGAGGACATATCAGACACATACAAAATCATTTCTTTTACTTATACTTCATATATATATGTGTGTGTATATATATAATCTATCTGAACCTGAATCTGTTTGCCAGGATTTCTCCGTGTTTGAGCAGCTTTTTCAAAACCAACTACAGTACAATCAATTTAAACATAAGCTTCTCGGGGACATATGACTTTTTAACGTTATAGTAGTTCTATGGTTGATACAAAACATGTTTATGAAAGTCTTAGCTCAAAATCCCTCTCAAGCGGGGGCTGTAGGTCGGGTTTTCACAGCATCTGTCTGCATTCCTTCCTGGGGGTTTTTAGTTGCTTGCAGCTCAAGGCTACCAGGGCGTCAGATTCAGACAACAAGAATTTGTTTGAGTCAGGCTAAAATAATTTTCCTCTCTGCCATCAGTCTTTAAACTGATCATTTCCAGTCCTTCAGTGAAGCCAATTTTGGGTTTTAAGCTTGTCCATACCGTCCGGTGACTCTCTCCGAGATGACATCCATTTAGCACACTAATACTGGTATCGCAGCTAGAACATTGTCCAGCTTACGATTCACCTCGAGTAACGTCCCAGTCTGAGAAGTCTCCATGCAGACGGTGCTTTCCGTGGGTGCGAGTCGCCCTCCAATCGCTCCCGTCTTCCCAAATTTCCAGAAAACCAGATATCGTCCCACTCCAGTCAGGAGAAATCCAGTGATCATCAGACCAAATATCCACACATCTTCGATGTCCTCAATGGACAGCTGGGAGAGGCATATGATCTTCCACTCCTTCCAGGAATCCAAAATATATCCCACCAGGTGTGTTCCCTGTGGACATGTGGGAGCCCCCTGCTCCGTTCTCATTGTTGAAAAAATCTTATCGATCACATTGAATGAGCAGTTTATCAAATCCATGGTTAGTAAAAAATAGAGTTTTTCAGACGAAATGCAGAGAAGCGCTCTGTGGGCAGACAGGACAAAGAGCCTTGGGGAAAAAAGATAAGGGAGCGAAAGAGTGAAGCGTCTGTACTCCTCGAGTGCCAGAAGAGAATGACTATAAGATAACGTACTTCAGTTAAATTCTGAAAAGATGTGATTGGTTAACAACTTGATCATTTAACTTCTGCCGTCAAGTCTAACTTGAGGGATTTAGGTGTTGTTTTTGACCAATCAATGTCTCTGGAGCCACTCAAAATACTGGTCTGAAACTGCATTTATCACTTCAGAACAATCTCCAAACTGCGGATTGGTGTCAAAATATGAACTTGAAATGGTTATGCATGCCTTTATCTCAACTCATTTAGATTACTGTAACACATTAGTCACATGTTAAAAAAAAGGCCCCAGACTGCCTTAAGTTGGTCCAGAACTCTGCAGCAAGGCTCCTAACTGGAGCAAACAGAAGAGCTCGCATCACTCCTATTCAGATGTCTCCAGTGTTATTTTCCTTGACAAAATATTTTCGGGAGTTTTTTTATGACGAATAAATTTCCACGGACGAAAGCGAAACAAAATTGAAAACATACACACCTATAATGACTAAATGAAGGAGCCACTGGAAAAAATGACCTATCAGCAAATGGAAATGGCGGCACTAGACAAGAAAAGAACCAATTAGAGTACGGAGCCGACCGCTGTTGGAACAAGCTACCACTAACCAGACATCATACACCTGTTTATGTCGGTAAAAGTTGTGCCTAAAGAGAGAAAATGTCCGTGGCTGGGAGTAAAAGCAGTAGATGTGACGATCTGAAACGTATTTGCTTGGTGAGTACCAGAGATGGGAATTGTGGCATCAAATCAACTCCATGCCGTGATTTTGTTCTGCTCAGAAACTGGACAGGTTCATTCATCGTGCTGACTGAAATCACTTGGTTTAGTTGCTGAACTGAAGAAAAACACGGCATGAAGATGACTTATTGATGCCACCTTTCCCCATCTCTGGTAAATACACATTCGGTGTTTGCCTTAGTTATAAGTGTTATGATGATGTTAGCAGCGAGCGGGTGGGGTTGGAGAGTGGCGCTGGATCTCAGCAAACTTTACTTGGGTTTTATTTTTTATTTTTTTGTCTAGTCACCTTTAAAAAAACAGCTGAAGACCCTTTTATTTAGAGCTGATTTTACATAAATCTTTTGTGTTTAATTGTTTTTAACTCAAATTTATAATCATCTTTCATTCATTTTATGATATTTATCATCACTTTATAATTTCATGACTTTTTTTATGATTCCTGATTTTAATTTTGATGTTTGTTTTGTTTAAAATAACCATGATTTTATGACTTTGTGATTTGTTCTGCTTTGTTAATCTCTGTGAAGAACTTTCTGACTCTTTTTGAGATGAGTGCTATATAAATTAAATGTGTGTGTGTGTGTGTGTGTGTGTGTGTGTGTGTGTGTGTGTGTGTGTGTGTGTGTGTGTGTGTGTGTGTGTGTCATGTAGTTTTGTTTCAAAACCTATAACTAAGTAAATAGCTTCTGAACAGTCTGAGGTCTAAAGTGATGTTTAATTCTGCCTGGATTGATGAGCTATAAGCTATTTTTGAAGGTTTGATATCAACATCTCATTTCACTAATTAGATGTAAAGTTTACATTTCATGCACACAAAAAATGTGGTAATTAGCAGCAGCAGCAGCTTATAGCCATACACCTTCATGTGCATCCCAAAGCACCTCCTGCAGAAACATCATAATGAAATTAGAAAATATAGATAAAGCTGGTTATTAAGCCAGATCAAACCAGTTAGTGGGCTGACTGGTTGGAACGTAAGCAGAAAGATTAAAAGCAGCAACTCCTGCCTGAGCTTCCTGAGGAGGAGAAGGTGAAAGTAGTCCTGAGCGGCGCCTTTATTTTTGTTAGTAAGATTTCAGGAGCTTTTTTAATTCATGGAAACTTCCATATAAGTAATCTCCTTACCCTATCCTCCAATTTTCCCCACAGTTACCAGAAATGTATTTTAAAATCAACAAAACTGAAGGCACAGGAAGTGAATAAATAAAAACAGAGTATTTTCCCATCCACATGCAGAAAACTCTGTCCCCTCATCATCAACCAAGTGTCTTGACTTGGCACGCGATTGGAAATCCCCATTTGACCATAAAACTGTTCTTTTATTTTAAGAGGCGTTGCTTTCTAAGCATTATCTATAAGATATTTCAGAATAAAACCATGTATACTGTCTCGATAAATGACCTTCCTCACAAATCTCTGATCTTTTCTTTTGGATCTTTTCACTTCTATTGTTATTTTATTATTTTCTTCCTGCTCTCTTATCTTCAGCTGCCTTTCTTCTCATCTTTCTTCTATCCTGCTTGAGGAAGCTCACGTACACGGCGGCATAAATAAACTACTACACAAACAGATTCAGATTTGATTTCTAATCCCTTCAGTTACAGTAACCAACTTTCAGTTATGGCGTTTCTTGCCTGTAACGGGGTTGAGGCTGCAGCTACTGAGAACACCTTATTAACAGTGCTAAATAATGAATTATAAATGACTGAGTAGGTGTATTCCAAGCAGCGTGCGTGCCAGTTTTCTTAGCTTTACAACATCAGAAAAGCTGGTGATTAGTTTTATGCGGTTAATTGAGTTACGCTTTAGAAGATTTATGAGAAAACAAGAGCGCTATCACGTCTCAAAGCTGTTTACATGGAAGTTATGATAATCCGCGTAGCATTTTAATATTAAATTCCTACTATCTCTTATGTTTCATAACTCCTCGTTCTCTCATAATAAAAAAAACTCAGTTTCATTTTTCTTTCTTGTGTAATTTATGAAAATCTGTCTCAGTCATTGATCTCAGAGCAGAAAAATTCCTTGCACACATGTGTAAATGCTGCGAGGTTGGAGTGAAAAGAATGGGGAATGAAGCAAAGAGGCCACGATTTACACTCGTGCTGTTGTTCACCTCATTAAATTTGACAGTGTGAGGGTGTGAAGGATAACTGTGTTTAATGATCAAACCTGCAGCAGTGCTTTGGCCGTGAGCGGCCATTCTGCGAAGAGCTGCACCCAGTCGTGCTGTCACACGGAGCAGAATGACAACCCTACCAAACCGTAAAGCTTGAACCTGCAAATCTGATGTGATTTGAAATGACAGTGTGATGCACACGCAAATGCGTGCCGAGAAAAGCTCTTTGCCCTCAGCGCTCACGTGGAAGAAGAGCAGGCGAGAAATATGCAAAAAGAGAGAAAAAAACTTTCACATGCATGTTTCAGTGTACCTGTAGATGATGCAGGCACAGTCCCTGCAGGTCCCACAGTTCTCAATGTCCTGTCCGGTCCTGTAGGAATGTCTTCTGTTGGGAAGTGCAGAAATGACATATCAGGGAAATAAGAGGTGTGCTTCATGTGTGCATGTGTGTTTGTGCAAACTCAGGAAGGAAAATTCAAGTTCCCTTGATGAGTAACATTTCTGTGGCACATTGCTGAGAGTCGACAAATCTCCTCCCTGAAATCACCCCTGATCATTTTTTAATGAACTTATCCCGCTCCAACAGGCTCAGCGTGTTACGTAAACCATGAATCACCGTTTCACTCCAGGCATAAAATAATGCTTATGAGGTGAAAGTGAAGTCTGCACGCTTAAGACCAAAGCTGGAATTCTAATATGGGAACCCACAAGATGCATCCCTTCTCTGAGACAGGAGGCACTTCAGAGTCACATGTTTACAGCCTCCAACGAACACTGCTGACATCGATGTTAACGCCGTGATTCAGATTGCACCGTGCAGATGTGTCAGTCTTTCCATGGATTCATCAGCCCATGTGGGCCATTCCCCATCCAACAGTGTTTGCCCTGCCTTATCATGTGTGTACTATTTTGGTGTTGTAAAGTGCAAGAAATTACTAAGCAGCTTACAACGTAGGAAGCAGATTAATTAAAGACTTGATGGGAACGGTAAAGGGTTTACATTAAGAGGCTTGGTGCATCTGAAACCACCAACGCAACGACAGCCAAATGCTGATTTCTATCGGTCCCTGCGAGCTGTTTGCACATTCGAGGAGAGAGCTGCTTCAAGACAGATGCAGCAAAGCACCCAAAGGGCTCCCCGTTGTCTGACTTGACATCAAGTCTGTGTTGTATTGAGATTTGAGGCTTTAATGACTGATTTGAGACTTCTTAAAAATGACTCCAAAGAGCTTCCTCCAGTCGGGCTGCTGTTCTATCCTCTCTTACACCCGCAGCACCCCCAGATGTTTCAACCTCCTCAGTTTGGCGTGATCTCTATTGCGTTCTGTCCACATCACCTTGTGTATATTATGCTTTCAACAATGGGATTGTTTCTAAATTTAGGAGTAAAGCTTGGGCACCACAGCCACCTGTCATTCACAACAAAGGTGGGTTGTCACTATGTGTTTTCCCCTTGTCATAAAGAATTACAGCTTATTACTCCACCCAGACCCAGGACAGCATCACTTTTGCTTCTTTCTGTGTCTATGTGTGTGTGGGGGTGGGGGCGGGGGGGGGGGGGGGGGGGGGGTGCGTGTGCATGCATGCGTGTGGATGCGTGTGTGTGTCAGTGTATGTGCGTGCACGTGTGTGCGTGCGTGCATACGTGCTTGCATGTGTGTGTGTGTGTGTGTGTGTGTGTGTGTGTGTGTGTGTGTGTGTGTGTGTGTGTGTGTGTCAGTGTATGTGCGTGCATGTGTGTGCGTGCATATGTGCTTGCATGTGTGTGTGTATAAATAATTGTGAGGACCAATTTTTAGATTCAACTTGAAGTGAGGACATTTAGCCTTGTCCTCACTTGAAACTCACATCAAACTTTACTCGTTGGTTTTAGAAGGTATGGTGTGAATTATGTCTTAATTAGGAGTTAGGAATAGGCCGGCGTTAGGGTTGAGGTTAGGCATAAAGCAGTCACTAAATGAAAAGAGGTCAATGAATGTCCTCACAAGTATAGCCAGATAAGCGTGTGTATGCAGAGTGAGACAAATGTGCTGTAAAAACGACGAACACTTGGAGGCTTGATGGTGACATTTACCTCCCAACTCTATCAGGCAGTCATAACTAATACTATTGTTCTTCTCTAGCTCCCTCTGCCCTTTGCTCCCCGTAGGCATCTATAGGGCTAAGGGAGGAGTAAAGAGTAAAGATTACCAGATGGCTTTTCATGCTGCTCCTGGCCTTGATCTCAGATGTCCAGTAAGGCCAGGGTTTACAGCTCATTGGCCTGAGGGTTTCAACTTCTCTATGAGCACATTACACTGCTGGTTAGCCCCACTTTTGAAGCTAACCACCAAAGGATATCCAAGCAACGCTTGGTCGGTTCCCTTACAATGATTTAAAAAAAGATTTCCAACCCTTATAAAGTGTGTAATCCTGATTATGCTGACCCAGAATTCATCTAAATTTCTAAAGCCTTGGCAAAAAGCACATTTTGGGTTTACTGTGTGTGTGGTTAGGTTAAGAACTGTCCTCACACTAGCTCAATAAGAACAGATACTACTCACCCATCTCGCTCTGCTTCCTTTTTCTCAAGGTCTTGAATGACATCCAGCAGGACCTTAATGGTGTTCTGACTCGTCTCCAGAACCCCCTCCAAGCTTTGCAGCTGGTTCTGCAGGCTGCGTATGTCATGCAGAGGACCATTTGGACTCAGGAGCATCTCCGTCACCCGTGCTGGGTCCAGTTTACACCTGGCCCCTGACATTAACCCCCCCAGAATTTCCTGGACTTGTCTTATAGTGTCAGCTTGGGTGGGGGTCAGGGGCCGAGTTGTAGGCTGCTCCCCAGAGACAAAGCAGCCCCTGGATCCAGAGCAACCCTGCTGGTTTGGAGGGAGCATGTGTTGGCTGTTGGGTGTGTTGGGCCTGGCGTTGGCTCCTGAGCAGAGCATTTTGTGTAGAACCCCCAGCTGAGCCTGGGCCGAACTGAGACAGCTGGGCTTAAAACATGCCTTGGCAGGGGAGGAAGAGGAGGAGTGCCTCTCTCCCTTCATCACAGCAACTGGCGGGGTTTGAGCTCTGTGCTTCAGAGAGTTGGCTTTCTCACACAGCCTGGGTGAGTCTGTACATTTTAAATCCTCTTTTTTCTCATTCTCCCCCTCTTTATCTTTTCCGCTAGCCTTGCTCTCTGCCCTGAGCATGGGTGTTCGGGCTGCAGGACTTGGCGGCTCACTTTTCCGTGGTGTGTAGGGTGGAGGTGGCGGCGGAGGAGGAGGAAGTCGAATACCCCTCTTGTCCTGAGAGTAATGGTGGGCCTGTGAGGGGGGGGTGTACGGCGGCGCAGCACGAAATGTGGAGGAGTAGAGAGGAACGACTTTAGCTGGAGTCCCACAAGATTGAACATTCTGAAGAGTGGACACATACGCTGCAATGACTGGAGGTGGAGAGGTGCAAGATCTTAATTTTGGGACAGAAGAAGAATAGGAAGGATTTCCTGTACTGACCGGGGAGGTGTGTTGCAGGGGCTGGCACGGGATGTTACAGCGAGATACAGTTTGTATGAGGGTAGCATAAGAGGGGGAAGTTGGATTTAAATGAGATGCATGGGGACCAGCTGGATGTGTGGTTGTATAATATGATATGGAGGTGCAAGACAGGGCAGTCTGAGTCACAAATGTACAGGGTGTTAGATTTGTGGGAGGTAAATTATTTGTTGGAGCTGATAGAGGTTGTTGAGTTATATTTGGGGCAGTGGCAGAATTTTTGGTGGGGGCACAGGAAGTTGAAATAGGACTGGTGGTATCAGTAAGGGTTGGACAGGTTAAGGAAGAGGACGGTGTTGGATTTGGTGTAGGAGAGGTGCAGTTTTGCAGGGAGCATTGAGGTGCACTTGAAGAAAGACTAGAACAGACAACAGCTGTGCTAGGGATTGATTGTGAGGACACAACAGTATAATAGGGGATAGAGTTTTGGGCAGCGGTAGGTGTGGAGGTGGAGGTAAGAATAGAGAGGGCACTGGGAGGAGGAGGAGGGGTGACACAAGCTGTCTTGGGAGGAGATGAGCAAGGCCGCTTTGTGCAGTCTTCAGGGGTTTGTACTGGTGCTTTTGTAGGCGGAGAAGAAGTAGAGTAAGGCACAGTAGTAATTTTGGTGGTGGGAGTGTTTTGAGCTGCAGGTGGGGATGCAGGGTTGTCAGACTGTATTTGCACAGAGCTGGGTGATACAGTCAGTGGTGGGGAAGCAATGGAGCTACATGTTTGCATCTGTGAAGGGCAAGGTTTATGATTTGGAGAAGTGTGACAGGAAGAGTCTGTTTGTACTTGAGATGTGCACGGCTCAATGTCTGGAGGTAGGGTTGGAGCGGTGGCTTCAATTTGGGTTGTGCAGTGTTCGTCACTCAAAGGGGGAGACTGATGTTGGCTTTCTGTCTGACTTTGGGTGGTGCAGAACTTGGAGTTTTGAGCTGGAGAGGGACTCTCAGTTTGAACTTGTGTGGTACAGAGTTTTGTATTTGGAGGTGGGGGGGATCGTCTGGGGCTTTCGGTCTGTGTGGGGGTGGTGCAGTAATGAACTTCCTTTCCAGGATCACTTGTTGTCCTGCTTAAGCGCTTTCTCCTCCTTGCCACAGAGGGGGTGCTGCTACCCTGACGATTGGGGCCATCACGACAGGAAACTGAAGAACGGTGACATGCCTCAGTGCTGTGAAGGACTGAAGGCGGACAACTGTGTCTGGAAGTTTTTGCAACAACAGCTGACTTACTATCTGTCCTCGATGCTTTAGATCTCCGTTCCACTGCAGATTTATCGCTAAGGGCAAGAGTTCTTATCTGATCTTTGGACACAGGCAGCAACAAATGGTTTTGCATGACATACTCATCTTGAGAGTCGTGCTCATCATCCCCATCCACACCAACGGAGTCTCCAATGTGTCTTCTTGTGTGTGTGGCTGAGAGAGAATGGGGTTTTTTGAGACATGGCGAAGTCTGGATGGCTGTGCTGGTGATCTTGCTGGGCTTTCGTGTCATTGGTAAAGTTAGGGAGTTCACCTGTGGTGGTGCCCAGCATCGTCGTGTAACGCCAGGGGTCAATGGATGAGGAGGGGCCCGTGCTAGAAAGGCTGCCACCTTTTCTATAGTGCTAGCCATGTCCCCACGCACGGCCCCCACTACAGAGGTTTGACCAGGTAGGCTACCAGTCTGTAGCTTGTCAGTCCATGGGTGGGGAGACATGCTGTTATGTTTACAAAGAGCATGTGGGCTGTCACAGCCTTTTAACGGCCTTTGATGGCCATTATTTTCTCCCGTGGCGCTGTTACCACTACTACTGCTGCCATCCTCCAGGTCTTTAAATCGGACCTGATGGGTACGACTGCGGCGCCTCTTGAGGCGGCTCTCGATATCTGGAGAGTCTCGATTGAGCAGAACAGAGCGTACAGTCATTGTCCCCGGCAGCTTGTCCGCCAAGGTGCTCTTGATGTTGCTCTGGCCTGTGAGCGAGTGACTCGGCTCTTTGCTCACCATCTCTCTAGTTTCCCTCCTTCCCCCAACATCCACAGGCTCTGTGGGCAATCTGCAGTAGTAAAGACCTTGTTTTGTCAGCGCGTCAGTAAGGAAAGTGCTCTTCCATTACTATCTCGTCATAGCAATGAAAGCAAGAGAGACCTGGATGATTGATTAATGGTTTCCAGTTTCATCACAAAACAGGTCTAAGGTTCACAAGTCTCTTCATAACATAGAATATAGTGGCTCAGCTTAGTTTTACACCTTCCTGTTCAACTAAGACAGTCCTCAGGAAGGCATATCCAGGATTCAACAGCTCACAGTCGCTCAGCTCTACAGAAACATGGATCTCTATTGTTACTTTACCAAAAATATAAATATGAAAAATAATAAAATGAAATAAATTCATCCTCAAGTACTCTAAACATGTGCATGTCCTGCGCTCTTTCTTCTTATTCCCATTTCTCTTTATCCTTCTATGAGAAAGTCTTCACAGTGCCAAAGGGAGACAGGAAGGGAATGTAGCCAGTCCATCCTTTGACTTGTCGCGGCCTCTCCTTCTCCGTCTGCTTCGTCCCTTGATCGTTCAGGAGACTGAAAGACCAAGATATGAGATGATCTTGAGCATTTTCCCATAAGGGCCTGTTTTTTAGAAGTTTTCATTTGGCTTCTTGGTTTTTGATTTGAATATATCAGTCAGTTCATCTGTTTGTGTAGCTCATCCTCCCGTGACTGGACGGTGGAGCTTCTAAAGAGAAAGACAGAAAAACAGAGATAGAGGGAGAAAAATGGAGACTGTAATGTTTTGTTTATTATTGTATTTCTATTGAAACACCTTGTGTGGCTCCTCAAGACAAACATGGGTAGCTATTCTGAAATGCACGAGAACAAGATCAGCACAGCAGAGAGAAGAATGCGTTGGTTGAAAGAAACTAGTAACAGGCTGGAGGTGGCAAAAGAAAAGCTCTGAAGAAGTCTACTCACAAAACAAGAGAAACGATTGTAATTAAGGTCTATTCAGACTGACTGAAGGGGATACTTGTGTTTTATGTCTGTTTGGTTTTCCTTTCCTCTCATTGGCTATTGTTAAAAGCTGTATTATTGTAGCTGTATAATTTAAAGGCATGGGAACACAACGTGACTGATATGATATTCTTCATGTTCTTGTCTTAGATGTATTCATTTTCCCTGTATGTTGTAACGTTCTGCGGCCCTGTTATCAGCCCTTGATGATCTGCCATGGTGGCATCCTCTCTGATTCATCTGTCTGCCATGCTGTGGTTAGTAGTATGTTCTAGTCACTCAGATTCTGCGGCGTGTTTTCGATACGCACATATCACTTCCACTTCTCGTCCGTGCTGCTGGCATTTAGGCATGATGCTGTCGCCTGCCTTGCAGGATCTATGGATTTGTTCCTGGTTATCTGCTCCTGATCGCCCCTGACACTGACAGGCCCGCGTGCTAATTCTGGGTGCAAGTGTGACTGGCCGTAGTCTTATCTTCAGCGGGAGGGGTAATTAGTGACTCCTTCACAGCTCATAGGTTATTTAAGGAGTGAGATACCTGAGGCGCTGCCGCATATATTTACATTCACTTTTTTTAATTCTTGCTTTCTCCCTCTTTTTTTTTGTTGTTGTCTGTTTTTAGGAGAAGGATCTCTGTCACAACCCTACCCTCCTGTCAACCTCTTTAAAAGCATGCTTATTAGGATTATTTATAATTACAGTCACACAGACAGAGCCTCGAGGAGAATTTCAACCCTGATAGATTATGATACAAGCCATGGAATTCCTTCTCGTTTTACTTTCTTGACACAAACAAGCTGGTGGATCACAAATCCCTCCAGGAAGGGATTTTCACAAGGATCGAATCTTGCCCTATCATTACTAAAAAGTACAATGCAAAGGTTTATCTATAGCAGAATATCTTTGTCAGCGGTGCTCATTACGTTGATCAAGATCTACCAGTCAATCAATTCAATTCAATTTCAATTCAAGTTTATTTATATCATTTGGGTATCGAGCATCGATTGGAACCGGGACCAACTGCAAGTTTTTCCTGGAATCGTTCAAAGTTTTTTATTTCGATTCCTAGAATGCCAACGGAAGAGGAATCCACGGTCCGTGGAAAATAAACGTGATCTGCAAATTGTGATCAACGCTTTTCAGAGCCGATAACACCAGCTGTCTGTGTGCAGCACCAAGTCCCCCCTCCCCCCACCCAGATATAAACAAACACGTCTGCCGAACTTTTACTCCGTAGTGTAAACTTAAACTCCTGGAGCCAAAAATGTGGTTTAGAGGAAACTTGTTAAAATACATCAACACGGTGGATTTAATAGAAGCTTTAAAGAACAAACTCTGGACGGTGTGAGGTGAGTTTGTCTCACTGCAGAAATAAAAACACACACGGAGCGTCAGCAGTAAGAAGCAGCCGCTCACCAACACTCATGTGTGTGAGCATCAGTAGGCTGAACAATAACCTGTAGAATAATTAAAGTCATCATGCTAGAGCAGCTTTCACTGTGGTGGACCACACCAGCTTCTGCCACAATAAATAATTATAATAATAAATCACACACAAAGTTGTGAACATTTTAATTTCCTTTCTGAACTATTTCTGTTGAGATTTAATGTTTAAAATCTGTTAGATTGTTACTGACAGCAGCTACATTTAAGTTTCTGTTGTGACTGAATGCTGCTGCAGCATGGAGGTGTAGTTCTCAGTCATCCTGGACATGATCATCCTGAGAGTTTTAGCTGAAAACAGCTGGACGTTTCTGGATGTGTTGGAGACATTTAGCCTCTCAGCCCAGAGGCTTCTTCCAGACTTTGTGGTCAGAAACAAACACACTGGTGGTGCTGCAAGTCTTTTTCTTTTTTTCTCCAAAACATGTTTCTGACTAAATGAAGGTGATGTTGTTGCTCATAGAATTAAAATTCCTGTTGAAGTTAAGATTATTTCATCAAGTAGGACCTGTAGTTAGCTGGCTCATGCAAAGCATGTCATGTCTTGAAAGAATCGGAATCAGGAATCGATAGAAGCCGGAATTGAAACGAGGAATTGGAATCGGAATTGGAATCGTTCAAAATCAAACAAAGCCCAACTCTATATATGGCAGCCAATTGGCTGTTATCAGACTTTTTAGTGGCACCGAACTGCAGCGGAACATCGCTGCTTCAAAAAGAATCCAGCGGATCTAAACCGGCCGCGCCGCTGAAGTGAGGAGGTTCTATTTTTACCGCGAGCTGCATCTCTTACCACAAATACCATAAGGCTAGACAGGAAATCCCTTATGTTTTCAGTGTAAAGAGACCAGTTCTTGTTAAAATAAAAGTCTATTGCAGAGATCCGATTTCTTATTTATGTAGATTACGTCTATACGTGTGAGCTCACGACTTGTTTACTCCAAGCATGGTTCGAAAGGAACAACATTATATATGACATCAAACGTGATTCCCTCTGTTTCCTTCCTAGTTTAATGGCTTCCCATTGTTGACTGATGTACCATGAAGGACACAGCTAGGGTCCGCTGCTGTTCGCACCGCTGATAGGTCACACCGCTCAAAAACGGCGCACAACAGTGCAGCAAAATTAACAAGTTAGACAGGAAGTTATGTCCCATATTTAACTCTCGTTTTCCTTGTCTTAAACTTAAGAAAGGGAATCGCAATGAGTGGACCAAGAAAGATTCCATCTCTTCAAGTCATCAGAGTAAACTCAGCTAATGACAAAAAATGTAACTAGTTAATTGTGCTGTGTTGACTACTGCCTCATGTCCATATTGGCTCATGCAGTCACGCGTTTTGTAGCATTAGATTCATTTTGACTTTGTCATTTTTCAAGTAGCTCACGAGCTGAAAAAGTGTGAGAGCCCCTGATCTATGTGTTTTGAACAAAGACATTACTTGAGGATGTTTCTAGGCCATCCACAGATAAAATTGTGTTTTCCACTCCCATTTTTTTTCACCATTAATATCCCATTTCTTTCAGGTCTTAGAGTCTCCCTGCTTGTTTTATATAAAAAAACACTCTCAACCTTCACCCTGACAGATTTTCCTGAGTTTCTTCCATGAGCCGGAGAAC